GACATTTGACACGGGCCGTCGGCTTGAATTTGTAAGCATGTTTTTTTTCAAACTCAGCTGCTTGAGAATCTATCAGTCCGAAGATGCTTAGTCTCATTGGTGCAATATAGATTGAAACAGAAATTACTATTGTCTCGCATTGATCTGTCAGGTCCTCGTTAGCGAGAATTGTGAAATTGGTTGAATAGAGTGTCGATCTGACCTGTCGATCTAACCAATGTTTTCCGTCGGACATTTTCGCCGCTTAACCGCTCTGAAAGATCTTGTCATCGCAACCTAGTTGGCTTTACTCTTGGATCATAACTTCACGTGCGGGGTGCGTCGTTGTGTGCAAAATAGGTTATGTTTGTTGGTATAAAATAAATCCAAATTTGCGTCTACTCTGTTAGTTATACCCAGCATCTTAATGAAAATTGTCACTCCTATTGAACTCTCCAGCGACGATACTGGCGGAACATTATAACTTCGGTTGCAATTCAGAGACATGATGATCTCCAAACCTTTTTATCTCTCACCGTGCTGCGTTAGGCGTTACATTGACGTTCTCAACTGCAACATATAAAGAAACACCAAGAAACCTCGGTTTTCATTCCAACAGGTTATAGCTTATTGGAACCGTTGAGTAAGCGGACAGCTTTAAAACCGATGTACACTAGTTTTTACTAACACACCTCGTCCGCGGTGCTTGGGCTTTCCTGCGCGGTCGGATCTTATGTGTCTATACCTATTGAGTTTCACGATTCCATATTCAATGTTGAAATGTAGCCAATTTTACTGTACCATCACTATACCTACGTTCGAGAATTCTGTTCGTTGTAAAAAGCTATAAAGATGAACTTTTCTCCCGTGTAATGATCGGACATTGCTGGACAGGATAAGTGGAATTTGTGCATTATTAGCAGAACAGCGTCTGAGTCCAGCTTACCAGCCAACACGGTGCTTTTTATTCATCCCTAAGATTTTCTTGACAATTTTTTGAAAGTTTTTCTGATTTTGTGGCCATACTCTACTAGATGCGCATTTCGGGCAAATTCGCGAAGCCAAATAAAACGATCAACAGCGTAAGTCAATATTGTTGTTGGTTCACTTAAAAGCGTGATGCAATAGGTTGTAGTACTAGGAGAAATAACTATATCCGCAGTGAGTAGTCTGGAACAGTATCCCATCACAACAGCAACGGCCAAATTTGAAGGTCACGCCTGACGTTCGGTCCTGCTGCCCGATCAGGGACCAACGCACTTTAGGCTACCGGAGGTCATCATTATCAACCGCGAACGGCCACCGCTGTGTAAAGACAGCTGACTGTGACTCTAAGCCTACCATAGTAACGCAAACGCTTTTTCACCTACGATCTCATGTGACGCTGTACTTGTTCACCTTTCGCTGTTGCATGTTTTGCAATTGATAAGAATTCACGAAATGACGACTCATCTTATAAACTACGTCTTCTGATTTTCCTTTTTGAATTCACATTTCCCCCACATGTCCCAAACCCGCAGCAGAAGCATTTTATGATGATTTTGCAACGAATATCTTGTCACATCGTTTTTCCCTGTGCTTTTTTGTCGCTGATTTTAACAAATTTGACGTCGCTTTTCTCTTCTTTCTCGGGCTACGGAACGTTTTGAAGCTGTTCTCCGTGTGTAATATAGGGCCACTTCACAACTCTGATTGCTCAAGTTATGATCTGTCCTGTAGTCTACTCCAAACTAAACCATAAGGAGGCTACACGTTGTAACGATCAGATTGAGGCAATGTTCTGCGCAGAATATTAGCCGTCCATGAAAAATTTCAATTTATTTTTTGACGCTGACGTATCCACGTATTGCTGTCAGTTGGCAAGCTACCTGAACTTGTGTTTTAAGACTTACTGTCTATGCGGAGAGGTTCTCCTCCTCCATTTGAATTGGCTGCATAGACTCAAAGGAAAAGGCTTCAAAAACAGACTACAACACATCAATGGAATCTCTGTCTGTAATTAGTAAGGATGAGTTATGCCGTCTCAACTATGTGTACGTGTACTTGGGAATAGTAGCTCTCGTGAACTTTGGAGGATCTTGCGACAATTAAGCAGTGTTACTCGACGTAAATCAACTTTTGACGTAGATGTCGATAAATTGAGCCATGACTTCTGTGAATGCTACAATATTCCAATGTGAAACCCACCCCTTACCCAGCTTTAAATATCTACAGATTCACTGTACACAGATTATTGAAACAGCTACACTCACGGAAAGCAACTGGTTGTCCTCAAGAAATGTGCTGACTACCTGGCCAAACCTCTAGCTACTTTATATACATTGTGCATGGAACAACAGAAAATTGATGATTGCTAGAGAAGTTCCAGGATCAAGCAAATAACGATCAATGATTTTTACTTCAGAAACTTTGAGGCTTTTCGAAAAAGTCATTCTTGAGAAGATGCAAACACGAAAGTGATCCATTGGTCCCCTTAAATTTGTCTACCACACTTTGAAGTTGGCTCAAGGTACAATGGCCTGCTTTATACATCCGATTCTATCATCGTTGGACAGTAGAACCAATATCATCCGAATCTATTTTCTGGACTACAGCAATGCCTCTGCTTGCGTAAACCACGACTTGCTGCTTTAAAATCTGCTCGTTTTTGGGATACATTGCTCCATCTTCTTTTTGATGAGCGTATATTCCGCCGATCTTCCTCAGCTTCCTCGATGTGGAGGCGGAAGCTCTCAATCACAAACACTGATGTTCTTCAGGGAGCTATTCTGTTATTATATCTGTTTTCCACCTACGCTGGCCTATTACCAGTCCCTGGGGAGGCGACCCTACTGAAGTACGCAGATGACATTGTCTTGGGCATCAATCAAACTGTTTTTTTTCAATAGGATTACAGGATCTCTCACGGTTTGGTCAAAAGCCCGCGAGCTGTCGCTGAACGCGTCGAAGTGCAATGATGTGGTATTCCCACTACATAGAGATCAATATCAATTGCTTCTCCACATCTATGGCAAGGGGTTGTATCCGTCCACACCTTTGAAGTGCTTAGGTGTCACACTTAACTGCAATTTATCTTTGTCGCGTAGTGTGAATGAAACACTTGAGACATTATTGTTTTACACCTCGTGTCTGCGATCCTTCTCTGTCTTTCGAGGCTTACTTTCGTCATTGTCTATGGTCTTCCACTCGTGACGTGCTAATTTGTATTTTTCCTGGTCTACTAGATAACCACTTCAGATTAGTCGTCGTGCTGTTATAAACGTCTCGACCTAGCGGCGTGCTAAAGCTAACTTGTTGATATACTATGTCCACTCATGTTACTTCTTGTCTCCTTCCTAGCGCTTTATCGGGACGTGTTTCAAGGTAGTCAAATCACACAGAAGTACAAGTTTATCCATGCCCGACCACAAACTTGCTGTTCCTGTTATGCCTCATCTAGCATGCTTTTTGCTAGACAACAAAGTTGTCCGGGGATTAACCAGCCAACTAACGCTATGAGCGAATTATCATTTATTAATCCACTTTTTTGTACCACGCTTCTTTTGTCACCTTGTTACGACGGAATATTCACCCATCCAATGTGCCTAAAGCACATTCTTCATTCGATCAGACATCGAGTTCAATAATTACTCCTTACTTACACTACCCGCTAACATTGTGTTACCACAGGACTCCGTCATTATTGTTCTGTATTTCTCCTCTCCCAATTACTGTTCATTACAACTACATTCCTAAACCTGTGAAACATAGGCCTTCCTAAAATCATCGCCCAAACTAACAGCCAAACTCGGTTATTTTCCGAACCATTGATTGCAACTGAGCTTTCGACGTCTCACTATACTCTCATTTTATCATTCTTGTATTTAGCTGCTTCATGTGTCTGAAAAGCGAAACTGCCCATTTTTCGATACATATACTTACTAAAATGGGACTAGGAACCGCAAGAGGTGTTGGATCGATACACGATCGGTTCTCATGTTCACCAGATCCTCCCCATGAAATGGTCGACCGTTTTAGTTACCTAGGCAGGCCTGTAGTCTCTGATGAGCGCATCATCACAAGTGTCACTTCGCGTTTTCATATTTCCATTGTCGCATTGCAAGGCCTCAATCATATACAGAATTAGTCGGTTATGCCCTCATGACAGGATCTGTATGTACAACGCTGCTGCACTATTTCTAGTGCCACCTTTATGTGTGGTGAACTCGCGTTCTTTGTTTTTGACTACCGGAGTGAGTTAGGCCAAAGTCCGCCAGTGGGTGCTCTTTTGCGACCAATTCTTTTGGACTATATCGTACTTTCTATTTAGTTTCAGTCTGTTGTCATTTTTCACATGACGCTCACCCACCTATTGGCCATACATCCGATGCGATATCACATCTGGTTGGGGAGGAATTATACGATGGCCGGTGGATGGCTTAATGAATGAATGAATGAATTCAACCAAAGGACTGAGTCTGGCCGACGCTTGTCACGCTCTATGATTTTCTCCTCTCGCTTAGCTGTATCATCACTGCGCAACCAAGACTTTGTAGATACTTTTGCGTCTGGTTTCTCGCTTCTAACTATTGCCTCTCATCTAACAATTGTAAAGTTCTGTTGACCTAGTTTGCGACCTTGTCCCTTTGTCTTCTTTGTTCCGCTCGCTCTTCTTGTTATCCTTGTTGCTATGACGACCTTCGTGAGAGTATGTTGACGCGCCGCACCTCGGTGCCTAGGTCATACTGTCATGTGAGCTGATTTTTGCACTGTCAATTGTCCAATACCCAGTTTAGTTCCATATTATGCTTTCTTGCCCTAGGTGGCGCAATGTCTCCGTTAGTTTTTTCCAGCCTTTGCTAGTAGATGGTTTCTTTCTGCATACCTCATACTTTTGTTTCATGATCCTCGCGTGTTTTACCTCGTGGTTTATCTGTATCTGTGAACCATTTCCCACAGTCGGGGCTTTTTCATTAGCTGCAACATCTATGCATGCTTGTGCTCTGTTACCGTCTCTGTTTTTTTTTTACCGTCTATGTCAGGTCCGTTGGCCGGTGCTCTTGTTAACCGATTCAGTGATCGCCTAATCGCCGGCCTGGGTGCCCTGATTTCTACCGTGTCTATCCTTCTCAGTGGTCTGTGTGCCCGCGAATTGCCCTATTTCACACTACTGTTCGGATTTTTTGGTGGTTAGTGTTTACTACACTTTTTCTTGCTGTCATTTTCCTTTACCTGCATCCGTTCCCGCAAATGGCCCTGGGGATAACGGGTGGACATGTGTTAGCTCTCTTCGAATTTCCGTTCAGGTGCTTCTATTCTTTGTGGGTCTCGTCGCCGTGCGGTAATGTCAGTACTATCTTCAATGCAACGACTTCTGGTAATGTCATTTCAACAGAATAACCACTTCAGTGTCCAGTAAACACCGGTTTCCAAAACCAAGGCTCGTTTCGTTGCTCAGCATCGGCTTACAGCTGTGCATTTCTGATCAATTATAGTTTGAGGAACTTCGTTGTATCTGCTTTCGTCACCGTCCCATACCTTTCCCACGCCTTTCGATCAGAATTTCAGGTGGAAATCTTGACCTTCGTATTAACATGCATTACCTTCTCTTTCACGTTCTCATAAAGAGTCCACTCGTTTCTCTGCTGCTGACTAAGGATTTCGCAAAGGCTTTTTTCCATTCCCAACCATCATATTCGCTTGTTCACCGGACATTGCTCCATCGTCTGCTCTGAAAAATACACTCGCTACGTCAATTGAATCCATTAAATCACAGAAAAACCGGAACCTAATCGTTATGATTTATTAACTGTACGTATGCAGCACTGCTGGACTTCGTTTTCATGAGTCCGTGTGACAGTCGCTCTGTAATGGTCTCGTTCGGGCGCTGTTGTAGCCGTTTTATCTTTTTTTGCCGGCTGTACCATGTACTGATCGGTTGGTTAATATGGTTAGCACCAATTCTCACTTGAGCCCTTCTTCCCTAATGCTCTCCTCGCAATCTTACCGTTGACTCTTCTAATCTTGTTATCTTTTCTGATGCAATAACAATCACATATTACACGACTACCACCGCTCGTCCTATCGCCTTGATCCTGAGACCTTGCATTTCACTGCACGTAGTTATCGTCAGCTGACACTGTACGTTATCAACTATTATTCATTCACTATCGTGTGAAGAGTCCGTGTACCTTGATTCTGATTACCAAAACATTTTGATTTTATGTGACGAAATTTAGTGGATAAACCCAAAAAATTAGACTCGGCAGGAGTGGACAAAAGTCAGATGCAGGGGTCTATAACCTGGAGGCGAACTCAACAGAGTGCCAGTGGCTTCGTGGTTTCAGCATGTCTCGAGCGATTGATATGACGAACCCGGTGGCCGGAGATGACATGTACTGGCCCTATTCAACTCAAGCCGAAATTGGCCTTACACACCCGAGTAGGCACATTTTAGCATTCGCACCACCCATACGGCTGTGTCAAAAGGTGGTATCAATCACAACTAAAAAGGAATTAAAGGCAAGCTGAATAGACCCGTAACATTGCTGTGTCATTAGAGCTGTGCTTATGCAAATCGGTAAGCCTGTCGACTTCCGCAGTCACTCGCTCACAGAGACCGAGCATCCTTACGCACAAATTGAAAAGGGAATGCTTGCGCAGGTTTGCGCCTTAGAACGCTTCAACGATCATACCTTCGGTCGCAAAACAACTGTTTTCACTGACCACAGACCACTTGTATCCATCGCTAATAAGCCACTCAATGTCGCTCCACACCCTCTGCAAAGGATGTTTGATTGTCTTCAGAAATATCAGTTGGATGTAGTCTACCAACCAGGATCCAAGATGTACATTGCGGGCACCTTATCAAGGGCGCAATTAGGCTGGACCTTAATAAAAATAAATAAATAAATAAAAAATCGCCAGCTGCACGCCATAACGGCGCTTCGCTACCACGCGAACACCACCAGTCGCGCGTGGGCTGAGTATTCCGCGGGGACGCCCGCCCCTACGCGGATTCGAACCGGTGATCTTATGGTTGTAAACCAGACGCGAATCCCACTCGGCCACCGGCCGACAGGCTGGACCTTACCGTGGTGCGATGGTTTGCATGCCTCAGAGATCCATTGAGCTATGTTGGGTGGTGCTTTTTTGCACCTTCAGAGCCACTCATACCAGATTGGTCAATGGTTAGAGACCAAACAAACTCAGCGTCCTGGTCCTCCTGCTTTAGGGTTGAAATGAGGGTGGCTCCTTATTCCTTAAAACGGGCTCCTTGTAGCCCAACGCCAGACCCGCTGCCTTGCGGTCAGGTTTTTGAACCAAAGGCTTCGGTGGCGAACCCTAATCGTTCTCCTGTCTAGGCCTGGGCAATCTGACAGCATCTTATTCCCCTTACGCTGTTTAACCCTTATCGTCCCGTTCCAGCTTCACTTTTATCCCCCCTGTTTTCAATCTCCCAATTCTTGCCCCCCCCCCATCTTGCTTCAATTATCGCTTGTCTTTTACTTCCAACTCACGTGAACGCGGAGCGTCATTCCTGCCCTGTCGACAAGCCCATGTCCAAGCAAGCTGTCAAGCTCAGTTCATCGGCTTCCAGTTGGCGCCCTTGATACCCCTTCAGATTGGCATGCCTCAATGTTCGCACATTGTTTCAGCTCGGTCAACTGGCAACACTTGCCCGAAGCTTAGCGACCCTCTTGACCGATGTCTGCTGCTTATCCGAGACCCGCCTGCAAGACTCGAGCTCTGTGCTCACTCTGCGATCCCCTTCAGGTGACACTAGCAGCACCTTCTCATTGCGCCTTTCCAGTGACGATGGAGCTTCGAGCACCGACCGAGTCGTTGTTGGTATTGCTCCGAGCCCCCGGGATGAAGCTTCTCTTGTTGATTGGATTCCAATCAGTAGCCGGATGTGTGCGGTCTGATTCGCTGGCTCCTTTGAAGCGTCGTAGTCGCGCGGGACTAATCGGTGTCTACACTAGATCGCTGCCTACGCGCCCAGAAACTCCAGCGATGAATTGGTAAAAAAACGACTTCATCCACCAACTAAACGAGCTCCTTCGCCACAGAATAAGCACGGACGCTATTGTGCTGGCGGGGGTCTGCACACACAAGTTGGAAAGTTGTCCATTGATGAACTGCATCTGGGTGGCCAACATGGTATAGGCTCCCGTAATGATAACGGTGAGTGGTTACTTCATTTGTGTGCGGATACTCGTTTATTTCTTGCGAGCACTAATTTCAGACACAGCACCCGCCGGAGTGTGACTTGGCGCCCACCAGCCTCGAACCAGCTATGGACGCAAATGGACCACATTACAGTAAGTTACCGATGGAGAGGCTGCGTCCAGAACTGTCGCTCGATTTGGAACACATGTGTGGACACTGACCATGCACTTGTATGTGCTGGCATGCGGATGCGTTTTTGGGGGAACCCGTACGACGACGCTGTGAGCCCATTGACACCAGCCAACTGACGAAGCCAGCTGTTCTGAATGCAAATCAAAGTACGCTGACATGCGAGTTGAGTAAGCGCTCTCTGAAGGCAATTAAAGTTCACTGGTCTCATATTCACCAGACTTGACTAGCAGCAGGCAAATCCTCATGTTGTAAGTCTACTAGCCAACATGGACATTGGGTCTCCTCGCAGTCTCTGGAACTTATCGATGTTCGCCGGTATATTCCGGCTGGAAGCGAACACAATGAAGCTGACACAGAGCTGCGGGCAAAACCTCGTTTTGGCCTGAAGGGACCTCATCGTGCATCAGGGATGGAAATGGCCGCTGCCTTTGGTAACCATCGTAAGTTATTTCGGCTGATATGGGAAACGGGTAGCAGGAGACCTGGTGTTAGTGAAACTATACATGACGAGAGTGGCCTGCCTATCCACAACTTGTCAAAACGCTTGGAGCGTTGGACAGAGCACTTTGAAAGGCAATGCAATCGGTCGGAATTGTTAGATTTCTCGCCGGCCACTGGTCGCCCTGCACCGTGGGTTGTCCCTTTCGATCCACTCTCTCGCTCAGAAGTCGAACGTGAGATCGGACTGTTGAAGTTAAATAAAGCCGCGCGACCAGATTATCTACCTCCAGCACTCTTCAAATTCGGGGGACCTGCTCTTGTGGATGATTTGCACGAGTTACTAGTGGAACGGTGGGAGCAGGAAACTGTCCAAACCGACTTTAGCCGCTCGGTCATAATCCCTATTTTCAAGGGAGGCTCACGATCGGATTGCGGCAACCATAGAGGAATCAGTCTGATCTCCATGGCCTCCAGATTGCTTGCCTCTGTCATCCTTCACAGACTGACTGGCACTCGTGTAAGTCAGATTCGTGAAGAGCAAGCCGGGTTTCGTCGAGGTCGTGGCTGCATTGACCACATCTTCACTTTGCGTCAGTTGTTGGAACACCGTCACACATATTGGCGGCGCAGGAAAAGGAAATGTACCGCTGAGGACCGTTATTTCACGCACCAAGCTCCGATGGATCGGCCACGTGTTACGAATGCCAGCCCACCGTCTCCCGCGAAGTACGTTGTTTGCGCGCCGGGGTTGTGGATGGAAAACGTAGATGACTTGCTCAAGAGGAATGAAGGCCCTCCCTTTAAAGCTGGCCTCAGTTGGAGCGTCTCGGCTCCCTCGTTGGTGTCCAAAGGACCATGAACACGTTTGGCTAGATACACTAGCTGACATGGCTAGGAGCCTGCCTCAGTGGCGTTCCTGCTGTTTTTTGTCCCTCCCCATCCTTTTTACCCTCCCCCTCCAACCACGATGTCATTTCGTAGCATCATATTATTTTAAATCAGAATTTTTCTTGTTGCCTAGTAGCCAGTTGCTAGCTTTCCGGAACGATGCCCATCCGTTTCTGTAGCTTATCTGGTATGCAGCTGTTGCATTTATTTTCTTTTATGTATTGCGGCACAGTAGCTGAAGTGTTTCCCACCTCTAGCTAACGTGTATAATGATGATGATGATGACCTGTCAGACACACCGCAGCTGGAAGAAGACCCGGATTTTGTCCACGCAGCACAGCTGATCGCGGTCACTATGGAACGTTCGCAGCAGCTCCAACGGTGCACGGAGGAGGACGAACAGTGCAGGCTACTGATGCAGACGATAATAGACGGATGGCCCAAGGTCAAGAAAAATCGCCCAAATTATTAACTCCGTTCTTTCTTTTTTGCGACGTACTTATCACCCATGAGGGATTAATCTTCAAGGGAATTGCAACGTTCAGTGCTGCAGTCGGTCCACTATTCACATTTTGGGAATCAACAATTGCGTGGCATGAGCACGTGAACTGATGTTCTAACCAGGAGTGACTAGCTAATTACGTGATTACGTATCAAACTGTTTAACTTGCAGGACACACGATGTGCGCCAGTCGTAGGAGCCAATGATGCTTCATGACGTTTTGGATAGGTGCTGGCAGATGATCGCATTGAACATATTTTTCATGACGGGAAGAACTATTTGATTGTGATCGACTATTTCAGTGACTTCTTCGAGATTGATGCCGTTACGTCAACCTGCGTGCAAGCCGTAGTGCATAAGTTACGGTGTCAATTAGCTCCACGTGGAATCCCCGACAACGGGCCGCAGTTCAGTAGCGCAGAGTTTCGCGCTTTTAGCAAGTAGTGGGATTTCCGGTATCCGCTCATCAGCCCGTACCACAACCAATCAAATGGGAAGGGTGAGTCAGCAGTGAAGGAGGTAAAAAAGTACTTACCAAAGCAAAGGAGACCCACGAGGATCCCTACATAATGCTGTTGGAGAGAAGCAACACTCCGTCTACCGAGATCGGAGTAAGTCCGGTGCAGCGACTATTCAGTCGCAAAACAAGAACGCTGCTACCGGCCGCTACAATGCTGCTACAGCCCGAGCTAGCACCGGACGCTTCCGTGCATAACCGACTACGGAAGAGAATGGTAAAACAAATGAAGTACCATGATCGATATGTCTCCCACCCTTAGCTATAAGAAAAGAGGTATGGGTGTAACCCATACCAGATTCGGGGGAACGTTGGCGGAAAGGTGTGATTGATGGTCGCAGGGGTGAAAGGAGCTACGAAGACAGGATAGGGAGCAATATTATTGGACGGAATTGGGTGCAAATTAAGAGAGCACGTAATGGAAGGACACCGCAAAGCGAGGATCGGCAGCAGCAACAAGAATGGCTACCTGCAACCTCAGCATGAGACAGCAAGCGTGCGCGCAGCGGAAAACCGTACGGGACTTATTGGACCAACATATTAAAAAAAGGAAAAGGAAAGGATGTGATGGTGCTGACAGTTGGGGCTAACGGAATCGCCTGCCGCAGTGTGGTCGATCAGACGATCAATCTAATGGGCCGGTGAGTTTTTAAAATCACAGTTACTTGTACTTTGCCTGAGACTTGAGAATACAGCGCTTGTGTGCATAGCCGATGTGATTTCTTTCTCTTGACGCGGCTGACAGAACCGGTCACAAAGCATCTGCTAGATGGTTATGTCTAAAACGATGAGGTAAGTCCAAAGATGCAGTGATTAGAGTTATTTATGAGAGCATGCTTTGTATTGAGAACCAGTAGTTTTGTGAGATCAACATCTAGCGGCACACCGTGTTTGGGATGAAAATCACTTCATTGGTCAGGCCAAGATTCGTGTTGGCTGTCACTTTTACCGTAAGTTTCTAAAAACCATGCGTCCACACACTCTCTATTTCGGCACTTTCACCGAGAAAGAATAGTTTGAAACAGTCTTCGGCTCCGACGACCCTATTTCAGATCTTTGTTAGTGTTTCGGACAAAGACAGCTTGAAATTGCCTCATACATCCAAGCAAGTGACATCAGGACTGCCGATTTACACCAACTTCTTCACCATTCTGTGGACTTTCCTAAGCGGTCGGACCTAACGGAGTGATAGTTATCAGACTGAGTAGTCCCACCTTCCTCGTTGAGGTATAACCAAACGTTTTGTGCTACTCGTGTTCATCATACCCTTGTAGGAAGGTCCACACTTTCAACAGTCAGGTATCACACACAGTCGAGAATCAATGGATGGCTCATCAATACCTTTGTTTTTGAGTATTGCTCAACAGAACTCATTATCCTAATGCTGCTTCCGAAGATTATTAATACCAAATATATCCTGAGAGAACTTGGAAGTTCGCATTAAATATTACAAGATCGTATTCGAATGAAACTGCCAACGGTCGATTCAAAGGTCCGTTTTTTCAGCACTAATCTATCCGTCAGTTTCTTTGTTGACGGATTGTCTCGGGACCCCAGCAGTTCGTAGGGCCGATGAAGAAGGCACACAGCGTCACCTGGTCGTAAGAAATGCGCAGAGCTTTAACCAATCATTGCAGCTATTTCGAGTTCGATAGCCACTCCAGTCTGTTGTCAAACCTCAACTGACGCGGTTCCGTATTGCATGTTCTTTGTTCCCACCAGAACGAACAGTATTTCATAGGCATTAGCGATCAAACATTGTCACACTTGGCGCCTTCAGTGCGCGCCGCCGTCATATCTCTGATCCAAACAAAACTTGTTACTCTATTACGTGTATCCAGTATTAGACTGTCCTCATAGTTGACAGACGCTCTGCACCACCGACCTGAAACACCAGGTCGGCAGTGACAGTTTCATTCACTGTCACCGGTGTGCTGACCCTTAGTATAGTCACTTGACCATGATCATCGAGCAGACATTTCGTTCAACTTGTTAACATTTGGCGATCACTATTTTTATTACGAAGAGGTGCCATTGGCTGGTTCCTTGGTACAGGCAAAGCAACATGATTCCTATGGATATTGGTTTACGAAGCGCTATTGGACGAAAGGGAGGCGAACTGCAAACCGCATCGATGGCCAAATCATCACACCATGGCGTTCGTTTTTGGTTACCACTCCTTGGCCTCAGTTCAACACTCGTACTGTCTCCCGATTCGTACTGTGCATCGAAAATGATAGAGGGCCTCTTCGATAATGTGCCTCAATGTTTAGAACGATCGACCGAAACGAGTTGTTTTTCTATGTTGGCAGCAACTGGTTGCTTATTCCTCCGCTTTCGCAACAGCCTCTTACACTTTCAGGTGCAAGGCACATACCAGATGTGTAACGCTGTCCGTCAGCGCTTGCCACGCCACCGAATCCCGATGATTTCCGTGTCGTCTCCGTTTTACAAGCTTGTTAAACAGTCGACACACACGGAATGTTTGACGCATGATCATTTCGCCCATAAACTTAAATTGAATGCTAGTGATGACGTAACTCCTCATGTCATGTTGCGCATCTCGGGGAAATTCCCCTCCGCAGCCCCGGTGGCTACAGGTGATATATTTCAGTATAGAACGAAGTTTCTCCACCATGCTTTTCAAACATGAATCCAACCATCCTCCAAGCGGTGGCGTTGGTATGGTTGGGAATTTGTCTTAGGGTGCATTTCGATGGATTACTCTTTCTCTGCCGGCACAACTCCCTCGGCGTGCGTTATATGCTGTCGCGAGGTTGCCAGTTTACGAAATGACTGAAAGCATGGATAACTTGACCGAGAGACTTGGCTAGGCCGGGTATTCCGTTTTCGTGGATGTGGGTCCTGGGATAAAGTCCACATTAGTGCTTAGAGTCCCTTTCAGACATTTGGCATCTTGCGTCTGGCTGTTAATATTTTACGTGGATCAGTCGTATTCACTTGATTGAACTCCTTTTTTGGATTCTCTCTGCCCTCTACTTCGGTTTTCTCACCGATGTTATTTATTGTTGTGCTAGTGACGCGAATCATGGCAGTTGCATCCGGATCAAAGCTTTTGACTGAACTGCGCCTCTTACCTCTGAGCCGCGTAACGCCCAGAGTTCAGTTTGGTCTCCATGCTCGTGCTATTTGGCCTTTCACGAATTTAGTGACCCTGTGCAGTATCATCGATGCCTCTTGTAACACCCCACCACTTAGTTGTCGCTGTTTTCATATTCACGCTCTTACATTGTCCTTTGCGTTGGTGTTTTTTGTTGCTCCGATCCAAATCCTGGTGGTCCCTCTACTCTCCATCTCTCCTACTTGTGCTCTACAGGCGTTGGCTGTGGCCTGATTTATCTGCCTGCTATTACAGTGGTCGGGCAGTGGTTCGAAAGGCGCCGTGCTCTCATTGTGGGTGTCGCAATGTGCGGCGGTGGTTTTGGTGCTGGTCTTTTGGCTGTAGCAATTCGGCCGCTCTGCAAAACGTTCGCTTGGCGCGGGACTCTCGTCATCACATCCGCGCTGTTCGCTCAGACTTTGGTTAGTTTCCATGTTGTTATTCTTTCTTCATTCTTTCTTCTTTCCACTGAGAGCACATTTAAAGCGTATCACGTTCTGGGATGCTGTTTCTAAGACTAGTATTCTTACTTTTGGGGTTTCATTTCAAGACAAACTTACTTTTTTCCATTCAAATGATGCAACTTCTCTGCGGGTGCATTACCTTTGCATTCTGAATACAGACATACCTCTGTGTTGCCCCTCGTAACTGGTTCAGGTACGTGCGCGGAATCACTCATTGATTCCTGCGCGTTTGCTGCACATTACAGCCGCGCCGCATGCTATTCGGCTGTGATGCGCTTCCTGAATCTGAACTCCGCAAAGTGGGCGTATAGGAATTTCTTGCATTTCGGTACTGATTTCGCCTCGACTTTTCTAGGGCAACCCGTCCCAGTATTTCACCACTCGACGCATAGGCATACAGCTTTTGTCGTTCCCATTCGGCGAATACAACCGATTTGTTCAATATGTCATAACTGCGAAAACCTTCTGTCACTTTATAGTACATGTGGATCATTTCTATGCGTACACCACATCCCACTTACGGATGCGTAGATAGAACACAGTTCACGTAATTTGTTCAATTATGCTCCAGTTACTGACTTACGCGTGATCTGGCCACTATAAGTCGTACTACCAAGATTAGACGAAGAAAGGCAATTGCATCAGAAAAGCTGCTGTGCACGACTACACGGTCAAACGGAAGATAAAATGTTATAGCGGAGCAGGGTGTCGACGGTACGCATCACGAACAATATGCAAATTCTTCACTGACTTCGCTATGCCCGATGATTTGGAGTCGGGTTAGAGTACTTGCCGTGTGGTTGGATTGCGACACGCAATCTCTATAGCGATTTGGCTCCACTTTGAAGTAGATCTCGGTCATTCCGATCACAAGGACCGTATCCTAATTGGAAGTGGTTCGATGTTGCTCCTCCCAACACTGGCACCTCATAACCAGTTGCGCCCTACTTTGGGCTCATCAGATGGAGATAGTTTGAGCTGGGGCAAAACTCGCAGCATAGTGTTTAAAGGCTGACGTCTTGATTCCTATGCCACTAAGGTCCGTGAGCAACGCTTGGAATTCAAAGTTAGATTTGGAGTGCCCCCCGAGTTCCGCCTCAGCTCAGGCTATCTCCATCTGCTTAGTCCAAACAAGGACGAAACCGGTTATGGGGTGTCCGTGTTGGAAGGAGCAACACTGTAACACCTCCACGAATCCGTGCGACTAACGACCAAAGCATTTGTCATTGATTGGCTTGATTGCATTCCCCTTTTTCGGCACAAACAGCTTACAATCCATCATCGGCTTCATGAATTTACTTCCAGACCTCCAACAGTCCCTTACTGTCCACAACTCAGTTGATGGCAAAACACCAAGTTGTGGTCCTGTCACTATCCTTAAGCAGCGCTACCTCTCCTGAATTTCTGCATGCATCGCAAGCTTTTGTCTATCAGATAATTTTAGCCCCGCTTTCTCCCTTTGAATCACCACTCCCCGACACTTTCCTAGCCTTTGTGGGCCATCTTAGCGACATATGAGAAACCTTTTGTCTCTGATTTTCAACTTGAATACCAGTATTCAGCTACTCACAAGCCTCATGCTGCAGTTTTGTTACCATCCGACTTCAGATTTTCATATCTCACTGGGCTTTAGTGTGGAAAGTGCAGGTTTCACCTTTTCATCACGCCCTTGGGTTGAAACATCAGCACTTCGTAAGGGGGTTCACTTACCCATGTATCCGCTTTGCATCCGTTCTAGCTTGGAATTGCTCTATTTCGTCCGTTCTGCACGCACCAAGCAATTATTGCGGCCCAGCGTGATCACGTGCGCACGAACGTCATTCGCCATGAAAGCGAAAACACGAGTCTGGAGACTGACAAGAAATTATCTTTTTTCCAAAAACCGTTAAGTCGGCGAAGTGGATTGAAACGGTTGGTTCCCCTTCAGACATGTTCGTTTTTTCCTTCTTGTTGGTCAAAATGTCGTTTCCAAAGTTGTTTTGTACACGGCCATCGAAATGCACATCCTTCCATGTATCCACTGATTCTTGTGCGTTGGGGGAACATCATGAATGCTCGTGAGCCATTGGTTTTCATGAAATACTCTCATTTATTTTGACCACCTACTAATTAGATTACCCTAACCACCCACACCTATCTCCAAACCGAAATAATCTCCGGTTAATTACTTAACAGTCTATGACTTATTTTGCTAGCATCACAGGCCAGGTGAAATCCATGTGTCGAAGTGTGACAGATCCATAAAAGTTGCTTACTGGAAAATGGGCGAGAGAAGACAACGTTCCTTCCGGAGGCGGGCGACAGGACTTAAAGTTCTTCTGACGAAATATTTGGGAGTTAGTAACTAGAGCCGAACGCAGATTGTCACTCACGTCGCGAATACACCGTAAACTCATATCCCGATCACATCTCCTCGTATACACTCGTGATAACGTACCTCTTCCTAACTTTATGCTCATTAACCAACAGGAAATTTCGTTGTCGCAATGACTGCACTTTTACACTTTACGTGTTATTTTGAAAACCAGTCCAACAACACGATTTTTACTTAAGCCTAATACTAACTATGCTTATCTTGCTTTTTGTGAATCAAATCCATCTTTTGGGTGTGAGTACCGTTGCTCTGTATTATCTCGCCACTGCAAGAGCCGTTTTGTGATGGTTTCAATGAACATAGCCGTTCTGACTGCTTCGGAACTCGCATTTACACAGGATAACCACAGAAAATATACTCTCTCACTGAGGTTATAAGCGCGTTCCTTTAAAGTTCTCCCTTTCTAGGAGATATTTATGCTCTGAAATGCTATTGATCTTCCATGATGTGGCTGTCTGGATGACATCGATAATTGTCCGTTTCAAAAGAATCTTTACTGAATTTTTCCACTCGCGCATCTCTTTTTCCAACACCGGTTTTCCTCGAAAGAAAATTAGATCGACTGCTATGCCCAGTGCAATTTTCCGAACTAGCTTCGGATCTACTCACTCTTCGCGGCCCGGTCGTCAGGTTGGGAAAATTCCGTCTTCTTTTGAAGACTGTAAGTTTATCTGCTCAAGTCGCTTGGTGTGAAGTTTGTGCGCCATACTGCGTCTCTGATGGTTGCAGAGTACCATCCTCGTTCACTGGGTTGCTGGCACCAGCCTCAAGTGAGCCACCTCTTGGGTATTTACGTGTAAGACTGTCTCTATAGCTGATCACAGATATTGTGTCTTAGTGTTCAAAAAGGGGGATTGCTCTAAGTCTCTTGAGGCTGGAAGTGTTTGTGCTCTTCGGTTTTTTATGGTATTAGCTGAAGTTGTTTTGGATCGGGATCAGCTTGATTGGGCTACCGTTAATTAGATTGAAAATTTGTGCGTTTTCTATTTTATTAAGCAGGCACACCACAATAACCAAGTACACATTTTACGTTTATGCCTCGGAAGTTCTTTGCTGGCTGAAGGCTCTGGTGGTTCCATCTACATTTTGGGATTATAATCGTATTCTTTCCTGTGGTTTATGCCTAGATCGAAAACGGTTTGAGTGCGAAATAGCGACTCACTGCAATTAGTTTGTATTCATTATGTGGCTTATAAACATCATCATTATTAACTTATCAAAACCTTGTACTTGTGTTTATTTGTTGTACAAGCAAAGGAAAAAGGGTGAAAGTAAACACATACATCCAACCAAATGTGTTCATCGTCTTTCGGACCCCAGCCCGACAGTCAGGAGTCGCCAATCGACTTAGTCATCGTATTGCCTCCCCTCCTCTTCCATCGACACTCCGGTCGCCCACTTAATGCACGACGCAGGAGTCGGTGTATTGGCATGCGCATCACGTGTCTGGTGCGTGAAATATCACTGCTGATCGGTTCACTCTCCCTTCTTGCACCAAATAAACGACGCTGAGAATGCTCATTACTCACATGGGGTTTCCGGCAAATGTGAGCTGGACTGCGAACGCACCGGTAGCCGAACACAACAAACCTCTTCATATCAGTCAATTTAATGGGCTAGTTTTTTTCTGCTGTTCAGGAGGATTGAAAGGACAGGTGCATTGTAGACTCAGTGCAAGAAAGATGTCTCACAGGCACCAAGAGACGGTGAAGATTAGTGATTTTACGCTGTCCAGTTAGTGACTTCATCTTTCTTCCTCAAACTCTGATGCAGCTTCCCAGATAACTGAATTTGTACGACCCCTAATTGGTCGCCATCATAGGTCATTGCAAGGAGTGGTCTCTGCCGCACTTAGAGCTTTGCAATTGGAGGATGCAAAGCACATGCTGAAATGATTGACAACTACTGCTGGTTGTTAGTCTATGAAATTAACCTGATCACCCTGGCGTGCCACCATCGCCATCATTTGACTCACTGGCGTTACTCGATTCGAGCGTCAGTTTCGGCCACGACAATACGACATCTGATAGCAATCGGGTCTGCAGACTGAATGTGCCATATATCCCTGCTCTTGTCTAAAACTACCCTCCCTATCACCCTATGTGCATAACCCTTAAAACAAGTGAATCCCCTTGTGCAAACGCTTTCGCGAACCCACGATGACAGTTCTTGCCTTCGCAGTACGTGAACAAATTTCCACAGTCACACACTGCTTACTGCTACTGCCGGCACAAAATTATGTGGGTCGACCAATCGTAAAGAATCAAGGAAACATCACACTGCTGGTGGTTTTGTAGCTGCATTTTAAGGATTATCCAGGTTTGATAACTTGCATGGCAGTGGAGGATTGGTTACACTATATCCTAGTTAGACTGCAACTTATGACGGTCTGTCACTGTCCCCTGTGGCTCAGTGGCATAAGCTGCTAGAGGTTACGGGTTCGGTTCCCTGCAGGAAACCGAGGGAATGCGCACTACTGACGAGCTGCAATCGGGCGAAACGATAGTCTGGTGCTTTTCTCGATTGGCGCTTAGATTATCGCGCTTGTAAACTTCTGGGATGAACCAGTAAAATACCATCAAGAATCCTCCTACTCATCATTTATGCATGTTTGGTTAAGCCTCACCGAAATGGTCGTATAGTAGGACATTGCAATCGGCCTAGTCCAAATCATGCAGTCCTTTCCTAGGAGAGAATCTCAATTCTCGCATCAGGAAACGCCACAAGCTAATGCACTGCGATTGAAGCGAACACAAAACCGTGTATAGATTGTGAAATGGGGCGGCTATTTGTTTTTAAAATGCCTTGCGACGACGTGGCGTTCGTGCTGTTTTCTCCTTCCCAGCACATCGTGAATGGTACCTGCCTCTTGCGATTCTGTGGACTATGTGGTTGTGGTGAACTTGTCCCGTCCGCATCTTCTGAAGTTTAGGTCCTATTGTGTGACCGAATACACGAGCGATTATTCCTTTTTTAGAGTTTGGCTCGACCGTCTTACACCTTAAATTAGTTAATTCATAGATTATACTCTTCGCCATGCGCTTCTGACCTTCACACCACTTCCGTACGTCTAGTCCTGTATGCCACCTGCCCTCATCATCAGCGTGCGATCACTCGAAAAGTGGGGCCATCAGCTTATCTATATAACTGTAGCAGATCTGGTGGTTAGCTCACCGAGGTCAGTGCACTCTTTGGTACTGCTTACATCTCTTCTAAAAGTCTTTGTCATCAGTGGCAGCCCCACGATGTATTAGTCTGTTGGTTTAAAGGATGATGTATGACGCTATGGTGTGGTCAACATTATTGTGTACAGCAGAGACGCATCTTTTGCCCCTTTGGTTTAATAGCCGTCTCGCATATTCACTGAGCACATTCATGAAGTCATACTGACAGTAGCTATTGTGGCCTCTTGTCAAATCTTTTGGTGCTTGTGCTAGCCGTGTTGTTGAACTTGCGCCTCCTCAATCTGTAGTTCATATATTTCACGCATCCGTATTTATTTGTTCACTAAATTGCATCTTTGTCGGTGAATTATCATCCTGGTTATAATATACAGGCGGGAGAGCCTATGGTGCGCTGAGACTGGTGGTGGCTAGATCCTGACAGATGGTCTGCTCACTGCTGCTACTGTTGTGCCATGGGCTCATGTCCTGGACGCCTCGTCGTGCCGACCGCTGGGTAGGAGTAGAGTTACGTGCTTCTGTCTACTAAGATCCAGGACACCGATCCGCATGAGTCGGTGAACTGACCATGTGCTAGACCCGCTGCCTTTCGGGTGTACATTTAATCGAAGGCTTTGGCTGTAGACCTGCGTCGTTCTCCTGTCACATGTGGGCGCTCTGTCAGTATCCTAGTCCATCCGCTTCGGAGGTTAGGAAGTGGTCGATGGCCCTTTTCCCGTAAAACCCAGTCATTGGAGACAACAGGTCTGCGGCTTGTAAGCTCACAGCTCGATTGGCGTAGAGTACGAACGCCACGCATTGTCTCTGACAGTGGCAGGGCACCTCCAGATGCTCAGTGGTTTGCTACTGCCCGCCTCAAACCAGGCAGCTGCTGGTCAAGTTGGTGCAAACCCGCCAAAACCCTCCTGCGTCTGGCCGTGGTCGCAGGTGCGTATCTTACTACGGTCACAAAACATCTGAATTGTTCGATCTCCATAGGCTGCATGTGACGGATCTCAAGCAGATCCCAATCTGTCTCTGCAATCACATTTCCTAGCTGAATCTGCTTCCCACTGCCTTGTGGGTCAGGTTATTGAGCCAAAGGCACCGGGTGGAGTCCCTCAAGCAAATCGGAGCACAACCGCCACCTCGCGTACGATTGCCCACCAATGTCATCATCAACAGCAGTACACCAGCCATTTGAACTGATGCTTCGCTGCCATACAACCATGAAGACCTATGAAATAAAGAATTATAAGAGGGAGAGAAGGGGGACTTACCTGAAAACCTTAGTGCCCTAAGCAACATCCACGGTCAAGCCGCCTACACCTTGTGTAGACAACATACCGTCACAAACAGCTGGCTATCGTGCAAAGATAAGGCGGCATCGGCGAGACAGCTTCCTTGCGGCTTTCACTGCCACGCGTCATAATCAGCCATTACTCCGCAGATGACAGCACCAAACACACTTTAAACAGGCAATCCGATTAGGAGACGGCAGCGAACGCGCCACTGGTGTCGGTTGCGAGCCATGTCCTGTAAAGTCTCGAGCCAAACAAAAGGCGAGTCACGTGGACTCCAACCCGGAAGGCGAGACGGACCAACGGTACCCAGTTTGGTCGTCAGTGACTTCATTTCCCGCTGCCAAGTCACCTTCTGTCCACCGCGAGCCTCGCACCACCCTACACCTGGCAGACTAAACAAGGCCCTTCTAGGTAAGCGGTGGCCAGACCTATGTAGCACGTGCCCGAGCCAACGCAACTTATGCAGTGCTATCTGTTGTTCTAGGGAGCTGTCATGATTATCACTACCTAGTATTCGCCTACGAACATCATCGTTGCGGACACGCTGGTGCCATCCGACTCCAGCAATGCTTCGCAGACAATGATGATCAAAGACTTGAAGGCGCCTCAGATCTTCAACCTGAGCGGTCAAGTCTCACTACCATACAGCAGAACGGCCCTCACTGTGGCCTTGTATACCCGGTCTTTCAGGCGAAGGAAACTCCCTTCTGTCGCCAAAGATGACGCAGGTTCAAGAAGGTAGCTCTGGCTTTTGCAATGCGTGAGCTGACGTCAGTTTCCATGCGCCCATCATTTCTGACGCAGCTGCCAAGATAAGTGAATTGATCAACCACCTCGAGTTCCTCGTTAGCAAGCGTCAAGGGGTCATCAAGTGGCTGGTGGTCCTGCAGCAACACTTTGCACTTTGAAGGTGCGAAGTGCATACCAAATAATGGGACCACTCTGGACAGGCTATTCAGGGTTGATTGTGCCGCCCCAACATCGTCGAAAAGCATGACGATATCGTCCGTATAATCTAGATCAACTAATCTTTCATAACGCAGCACTTCGACGAGATTCCGCAAGGGAACACTCCATGATAGAATCCACGACGAAATTGAACAAAAATGGGGAAATCGGACAACCCCGTCGAACGCCACTTGTAGTCGAAAAGCTATCCGATAGGGCACCATAGACCCTGACGCGGCCTCTAGTGTTCGAGTATAGAGCACGAAGGATGTTCACATATTTCGTGGGAACACCATTCCGCGCAAGTTTTCCTAACAGAATCGATCGATCGACTGAATCGAACGCACTCTTGAAATCGAGGAACACAGCTATTGTCGGTCTGCGGTATGCGTGGCGCTACTCTAGCACATGCCGCCAAGTGAATATATGGTCTATACAGCCACGTCCTGGGCGAAAATCGGCCTGCTCTTCCCTAATCCGAGATTTCCGTTCCGCAGTGAGGCGACGAACGATAATCGAGGCCAATAATTTTGTCACAATTGGTGTTAGGCTAATACCCTTGTGGTTAGAACATTTGTGTGATTGCCTTTCTTGTACCCCACCAATGCAGTCGTATGCCTCCCCGCAAAGCACTCAGAATCGGGTGCTGGAACGTGCATACACTACTGGATCCGAACTCTAGTGACCGACGCACTGCACTGGTCGCGATGGAACTGGCGCGCTACAACATCGCTGTTGCGGTGCTATGGCTTCTCATGTTCCCCTTTTCTGTTGCTTGTTTGCTTATACCTTTTCATTAATCACCTTTTTTCGTTATTGCTTTTTATGGCTGTGTTTGTTGTAGCGTCCGAATTCACCATGCTTTACTGCATGGATGATACTTGACTTTTTGAAAAAAAGTTACCTGTTTCCACTGATGTTCAGTGATGGTTTCTTTCTTCCTTATCCGCATATAATATATTCACTGCATCGACAATCCTTATGATATTTTGTAATCAGTGCATAATGACGCTGCTTTTCTTTGATACTTTCAGGTAGTATCTGCTTCTCGTCTTTAACGATGGTTTGCTGCAAAGCGGTCTTATAAACCGAGCTTGGTTCGGGGTACTCTCCCTGGCTCACTTTAATTCAAAACCAAATTCAGTCATCGTCGTTTATCAGATCCATTGCGAATGTTTATCTGCAAGTTTCGCTGTTTAAATCTTTATTGGCGGAGATTTAATATTTCATCCGCACATCCACGCCCAATACGGAAGCCTGTTGCTTATATCGGTACTGCGATTCACCAAAAGGAGATAGTCTAGGGAGTAGAATGGGTGCCAATAGCTTCGAGGCAACCGAAATGGTACGAATCCCTCAGGCGGGCATCTGGGTTCACATGGTATACAAGTGGACGGTTATGGCTAATTGAACTGAGAATGAAAATGTTCGGCCCATCGATCCAAGCATCTCTGCAGGCTTGAAATCGGCGAACCGTCAGCTTCATACATAGTCTCCCTAACACCTGACTTTCCTGTGTCCAGTGGAAGTAATGAACTGGAAAAGCTTGTGAGTATTGCCAGACAATACAGCGGCCGAAGCACGCTGAGACCACCAGGCGTAGGCTTTGTTTGAGCTGCTGTCTAAGATAACTGCTCACTTCCTTCTTATTAGACTCCGCTGCGATATTTTTGTGGCGGTCAAATAGATCCAGGCCTTCGTAGAATGCGGAGCAAGACCACAGACTGACTGTCCGGAAGAGATCATGGTCCTCTGTATGGACGTCCAATGTTCATCAGTGTCTTATAGATGGTCACAGCTAAGCGCATCGGTCAGGGAAGCTTGACAGTTCTGCTGAACCGAGAGAGTAGATAGTTTACTTGTATCCACTTTACGGTGCTTCGTCTTCAGTGACTCTCCGAAACTCATTCAGATGTTCGTACTGATAAGAAATGTGTGTGTAAATACATTGAACCATCCCATACCGAACAAAGACCGAGACCGAGGAAGCGCTACCGGGCGGGCTCTATAGGCGTCGACAAAGCCATCGGGAGTGGAATCCTGAAAACAGGAATCAACTGGTAACTGATAACAGTAATTAGTGACAAATAAATAGGTGGTGTGTGAAGAAGATGTGCGATTAGCGGAAACAAAAGCAATTGAGCGCAGTATATCAGCCGAACGATCCACAGTTTTTTCAGAGCGCGTGATCCTACCCGTTTTCCCAAACCGAGGTAGTGAGTTGTCTTATGGGACGCAACCCCGAGTTTTTGGCTAAATAGCCTACTCGCAAGGCAACGAGGCGAATTCAGGGAATCGCGCCCACTGGGAATCGGTGACTGAATATGCACCCTCTTCCGCGAAGCCCACTGATGGGTCCTTTGCTTTACCAACAACTTGTGACCCAAAACCTTGTGCGGATCACCCGTTCTCCACAAGTAAGATTGATATAACCTTTGGAGATTGCAATTTCATTTCATCAGTTTTCCATGGCATGAAACTTTATTTCAATTACTGCATCCTCCCAGTGATGTTTCTAAACAACATTTACGAATTTGTTATTATTTTTTGCATTTTTTGCAAAGAGTAATAGCTTAGACCTCTTGAACGTCTTCGCATTGATCTGCTTGTTCTACTGCCGTGCAGAATATTGACTGTTTGTAACCGGAGAGGAGGTTAAACGGTTTTGCATGCATCATTGGATATATGGTACTCAAGGTGACCACAGGGCTGCTTGTGATCGGACGAATCAGAACTGATATCAAACGCCTCATGGAACTTAGTGAATCTACACCATTCGTTTGTAAGCGACTATTTCACTTTTCACCACAACACACCTGCGTGAAATAGGATAATTCCTGAAAACGATGCACAGGCTATCCTCACGCACACACGTCTTGCTCGTAATTGAAAATGGTGCGGAGCGTTCATAAACACTAATCACTTTCCTTCTCACCCACTACTCCGCTAATACACTAAATGTCTCATTCTGTCTTACAAATCATAGTTCTCTTGACGTGAGGTAATTTTGCTGCCCGAAACCACCTGTCGTTTGACAATTGCAGCGTTGTCTGCAGTTTCGTGGTGTTATTTATATTCGCATTCACACTTCATCGTTTCTTCTGTTCATTTCGATCCCTTTGTCTAGTGGCTCCATTATGACGAAGATAATTGAGGAGAAAAACCGCCAGCGCACCACTTCCACCGGTAGTCTAGACGGAATGGTTATCACTCGCGAAAATGAGGTCATCGCTCTTTCGTCCTCAGAAGCGTACGAATCCGTTGCGGCAGCGGCCGCCGTCTATGCTGCCTCGCACCCAGTTCAGGACTGTGAGCATACTGCACCGCTCACAAGCTGTACAGAAAAAGGAATCGATGAACCAACAGAAAACAAGATCCGATGCACTCACATTGCCGGCTTTTCTGGTCGCACTGCATTGCAAACTCTGCAAGAAGAGCCCTGTACTTCCTTCAGCTCCAACCAACATGTAGGTCAACTATGGCGGACTTACCAACTATGCTAGTCCATTTCGCTTGTCACTCCTAACAAGACTCCCTCCTGTTGGTCTAATCATTCAGCATTGATACTCGGATACCCTTATCTCTATTCTAATTAACCATACGAGGGATCTTTCGCCCTACTTATCCCTATCATGTATCTTTCTCTTTACCTTACACTCCTATTGAACCATTTTACTTCCATTACTGACTATAACATCCTCTTATTCCCCTTCGTCATCCGCACTAGTCTTGTACGGCCGTTCTTCCTCCACCGGTTCGGTTCAACCGCCACGCTGTGCTCAGGATCGCAAAAGCAATCATCCATAAACTTCAAACGTCTAAGGTTTTGCCCCAGAATCTATCCTCTATCATCGATGCCGGTCGTTCCCGCTGTGTGATGTCCAACTTTCGACTTAGTGATGGTGGAAGAATTGGACCGTATTCCAACGTAGAGACGTCCCAAAATCCAGTATCAGTGAACGATCAGAAAAGCAGACCACACGACTTAGTAGAAATCGAAGGACAAGCATTTCATAATCATATCTTTGGACGCATAGCGGGTCTGAACTTTCCTCCACGCTTGAACACATCCGTTGGCTCTAGATGTCCACCGTACAACATGGTATGTGAGCAGATATCGAGTGAATTCGCGATTGCATGTGTCTATTGTTATACCCGTTTTTTTCAATCTACACTTCTTATTCCGTTGTTGTGGTGTTCGCCGAGCTGGGCAAATGTTTCACCACCATTCGAGGTGGCACATTCAGTGCAGGTTTGATAATAGTCAGTTATCAGGAGCTGGTAGAAGGCAAACCCAAGAAGGATACTGTCAGCAACTACTCCTTTCCTTATATAAGCATTCGGGGCTATTAGGTTCGCTTCCGTCTGACTGATGTTTCATTGTGTGCTGCGGTCCGAGTCACTGCCATTAACTGCGTACATGTTTTTGCAACGTGCCCGGGAATATCGCACTCGGATTGGTGCGATGGGTGTGGGTGAGCAGTATGAGCTCACATTGACCATTCTATTCATTTTGTGGGTGTTGGATTAGGTCCTTTCGAATAGCGGTTGTTAATCCTCTTAAGCTCTCTCTGTATCAGCGGTTGTATATTGGATCGATGTCGAATGCATGTTCGTGAGTTCGTGGTTGAGAAGCAGGCTTCGAGAAACTCCCTCCTCTTTTTTTGCCTCTCCATTGGTCAAGATCTACTTCGTTCCAGTTGAAGCTGTGTCCCTCTTCATCCACATATGCTGAAACCAATAAGGTTGCGTAATGTTTCTTGCATGCTTTTTGGTGTTCTTGTATCCTTGTTGACAGCTTCCTTCCTGTTTGTCCTTCATAGTGCTTTTCATACTTTACGCAGTTTATTCTATATACGAATTCCGTCATTCTAGTGGTTCTCGTTTTCATTTCGATTTTGACAATATTTTCCTCAGGGTGCTGGTTGGCTTGTGGGATACCGTGATATGATGTTTGAACAATCTGGCAGTCATTTCACACGTTCTTTATGTACGGCTGAACTATACGTTTCGTCTTAGTAGATATAGGTTTGATTTTTGAGGGATTACGGGTTAAGCATCTTCGAAGGAAACTGCGTGGGTATCCGTTGCGTTCAAATGACTTGAATAGGTGCTTTTCTTCCTCTCCTTTCGCTTCCGTCGTACTGCAGTGAGTGTCTGTACACAGCTTATTTCATGACATCTTGGGTGGTTGGTGTTGTTGCTCGAAATCTGATCTGTGTGCGTGCTTTTTCTATGCACTGATGTTTGTAATTCACCGTCCATTGTTCTGGTTACTAACACATCCAAGAAAGGAAGTTTGTTTATTTTCTCTGATTCCATGGTAAACTCGATGCCGTCCATGACGTCGTTAAGCGGTTGTTGTGTTACCAATAGCTGACTACGTTTGAGTATCACAAACGTATCATCGACGTAGCGAACCAAAAATTTAGGATTAATACTTGGTAGTAGATTGTCTTCTAATTTTTGCATATCACTCTGCGCGCAAAGTCCGGATAAGAGGAATCCCATCTGTGCACCTTTCACTTTAGAAATTTTCCCGTTGAACGTAAAGTTGAGAGACATAAGTGGAGGAGTTCGCAGTGTTGGGAGGAGCAACACCGAACTATTTTCATTTCGGATATGCTCTTTGCGATCGGAATGACCGAGATCTACCTCAAAGTGAACAGAGATCTCAATCCACCCACACAGCGGGTTCTCCAAATCCAGCTTTGTAGTTCACACACACACACACACACACACACACACTTCTGGTCGTCATGTTCCCAATCCCTCTTTGCTGTTCTCCGTTGTTCTGCGATAACTTCTTTGGCCAACTGTAAGTTGACGGAAGTGAATAGAGCGGTTACATTGAAGGACACCGTGGTTTCATCGTGGTCTATTCGTAGATCTCTGAGCTTCGTCAGGAAGTGTTGGGCATTGTTTATGGAGAGTTGCGATTTACTGATTAGGTGTTTGAGGCGCCTCCATAGTTTCTTTTGCCAGATTGTATGTTGGTGTGCCTGGAAGTGACACAATTGGTCGTAACGATGCTCTGTCCTTGTATACTTTGGGTAGTTAATAGAATTTCGCAGTGTTCGAGTCTCGACCTCTGATTCTATCTCGTTCCTCTTCCGTCATTTCGTTCGACTGCTTAAGCTTCGTCAACACTGTTTACTTTGTTGGTTAGCTGCGATGTTGGGCCGTTTTCAATGCATTGGTAGGTTGTGGTGTCGTTCAGTAGTTGCTTTGCTTTCTTGATGTAATCTGCTTTGTCCATAATTACTGCCATCCGTCCTTTTTCAGCAGGTAGGATAACAATTGATTCACCCGATTTCAGTGCTTTTATTGCCTCTTCATCTGGTCGAGATAGAGGGTTGCATTGCTTTAAATGCTTCATGGCTGCGACGATTGTATACCTGATTTGTTTCTGTGTTTCTTCGTCTAGTCCGTTGGATTGCGAGACGCTTTCAAATCTTGCTAGAAACTCCGTAGTTGTTCTGTCTTTGTAGTTATTGTTTAGGCCTTTAATGGCGATTTGTTGTTCCATACCAGTGAGTGGCCGTTTTGACAGGTTCTTAATCCAACCATTATTAATGCATTCGTCTTTACTGGTTGTCAGTTTGGTCAACTTCTGGTGAAGCGCAGTCTGCTTTTGTGTTTTTGGCTCTGCGCTCTATTGCCAGTTGCACTTGTTCAGTCAGTTGTCGTACAATATTTTTTAACAAGTGGTTCGATGTTCGTTTAGACATCGTTCATATTTTCTGACACGGTTGTGGGCGTCTGTGATCATCATTCGTGCCATACGCTTTCCGAATTGCCGCGCAATTGTCCACGCCTGTGGATGGTTCATCAGTGGCCTATAGCTAACGCTGCGAGGAAGAATGTCTGTTCGCAAGCATTCATGGAGGAAATAGAGTTGTTGCCTTGCGGAAGCATTTCCGCAAGCAAAATTCTCCAAACGACGAACAGTGCGAAGCGTTGAGCAAGTTGATTGCAAGTTGCCTGGCTCGGCGAACACCACAACAACTGAGTAAGCCTCCCGGGGTACTAATATATCTAATCATTTCGAACACTTTTTATATCAGCTAAGTATGAGCGTTTTACTTGCTTATTGCTCTATAACATGCGAATAGCCTACTCCTTCATTACCAGTTTGGTTGCACCGTGCACTGTCTTCATTCTTCTCTACTCGCGATCGCGCTACGTTCCTCTTTGGGGCCGCAATACCTTCCGTTTCACCTTTCAGTTCCCGTAGGAATCATTCGTCCAAGCACTTCGCTTGCAATCTATGCGAAATAGCTTCGAGCCCTCACCCCTGCATGGGTTCGTGCGCTCCCGCAGAGTATCGCAGGCTGCATACAATCGTTCATGGTTCCTTGGCAGAAAACACCGGTAAAGAGTATTTCTGATCGCTGCTGACACTGTACCCTTCCTCATGTGACTTCCCTTACTTTCAGTCATCCTCGTCGTTAATCTATGGCTAAACATTCAAGTGCACCTGTCTACCTGTCACTCAACTGATGGTTTGGCTGCGATCTACAATCCAACTTCAAGTGGTCACGTGAACACTAGCGTCTGTTTTTATAGATTCAGTGAACCTACCGCCATCCAAGTAACCATTGGTATCTTCATTCCCCGGTGAACGCTTACAGCCCTCACTATATATATATATATATATATATATATATATATATATATATATATATATATATATATATATATATATATATATATATATATATATATATATATATATATATATATATATATATATATATATATGGCTTATCTTTCTTGATAACATGAGATGCACTCCGCTTCAGAGAGGTTAATGATTATAGGGCACTTTGTAACCGTTGAAACATTCGACAATAACAGTTTTCAGAGCATAGCTGCACAATTTGCATCCACTTGTATACTCAACAACTTGTACAAGTCACACAATGAATAGCAAAACTGTTTAAGTGTGGTTTCACGATGCGGTTTTGAGTGGTTTTCTTTAGCTAAACATCTACGCGCGGATGTCAAATTAACATCTATTTTTTACTATGGCTTCCTCTAACTGCATAGCGTTTTTTGTTTAGTCTATTTCCGCTGCCGAAATTGCTCCAGGAGGTAACTATTTTCATCAAGTTCGTCGAATTTCTTTTCTAGCCGTGGCCTTTCCTTCTAACAATCTGTTGATGCTCCGATCGCGCAGCTTATAATTTACGGCGCTCTGTCTGCAGCATCGAGCAGGATGGATAGGGGTTTGGATGCTACTGCTCAAGCCTCCCCCTCTTGCGCTTTTTCATCTTTAGCGTCCCGTTCCAACTTCACTTTCATCCCCCCGTTTTCAATCCCTCAATTCTTGGTCCTCTCCCACCTTGCTTTAATAGTCGCCCGTCTTCTAGTTTTAATTCACACACAATCGCAGGGCGTCGCTCCAATCCTGTCGACAAGTCCATGTTCAGCCAAGCGGACAACGTTAGTTCCTCCGCTTTCGTTTGGAATCATCGATCCTCGCTAAGACTGGTATGCCTCTACATGCGCACTTTGCTACAGATTGGCCAACAGGCAGCACTTGCCCGAGATCCCCTCGATCGATATTTGCTGTTTATCGGAAACGCGCCTACAAGATTCGAGCTCCGTGCTTACTCTGCGATCCCTCACATGCGACACTGGCGGCACATTCTCATTACACCTGTCTGGCCAAAATGCAGCTTCAAATACAGGTCAAGCTGGCATCGGCATTGTTTTGAGTCCCCGGGCTGAAGATGCCCTGATCGGCTGGATCCCTGTCAACAGCCGGATGTGCGCCGTTAATTTGGCTGACTCGTTCCAGGTTTCGAAGTAGCGCGGGGACAAACGGCGCCTGTTTGTCATTGCGGCTTACGCCCCCACAAACTGCAGTTCTGATTCGGTGAAATATATTTTCTACCACCAGCTTACCGATCTTTTTCGTTACAGAAAAAGCACGGATACTGTGGTGCTTGCTGGTGATCTAAACGCCTAAGTCAGCAAATTGTCCTCTGATGAGATTCATCTGGGCTGCCAACATGGTGTAGGCTCCCGAAATGGTAGTGCCGAGCGGTTGCTACACCTGTATGAAGGTGCTCGTCTCTTTCTCGCAAGCACTAA